ATTGATCAATCATTTCATGAATGCGTCTCCCAAACACAAGATTCCCCAGTTCAGCACACGCGTGTAGAGCCGCCATGACAGTGACATTGGTTGGTTTTAATCCTTCATTCAGCATCTTTTCGAACAACATCAGAGCTTCGTCCGAATTCCCACTCTGTGCATACCCATCAATCATAGCATTCCATGAAACAACTGTCCTGAACTCCATCTTGTCAAAAACCAACCTTGCAGCGCCCAGGGAGTCGCATTTTGCATACATATCCACCAGAGCAGTTGAAACATTCACAAAAGATTCCAACCCATTTCTTATAACATAGCAATGTATTGATTTCCCAGCCCTCAAGGATCCAATGGCAGTGCAGGCAGGCAAAATCGAAACAACAGTAACCGAATCAGGCCTATGAAATGTTTCCCTTTGCATCTTCAAAACCAATTCCAACGATCTCTTAGGCATCCCGTTCTGTGCAAACCCAGAAATAACGGTGTTCCAAGCCACCAAGTCCCTTTCAGGCATTCTCTCGAACAGCTTGTGCGCATCTTCGGCCATCCTGCATTTCGCATAGAGATTAACCGCACCGGTCATGGCAAACAGATTGCTCGAGAACCCATTCAGTACCAACTGCCCGTGTATCTGTCTGCCCTTCCGGATATCCGATTTATCCGCACAGGCCTTCAGCAAATAAACATAGTCAAGAACAAGGGGAGTGACATGGTCGGACCTCATGCGAGAGAAGAACGAGAAACAGGACTCCAAAGAGGAGTGATTGGCGTACCCTTTGAGCATAGCGTGGTACAGAGCATCCGATTTTGAGGCAGCGGATTCGAAGACTCCGGCGGCCTCATTCAAGCTGCCGAATTTGGAGAAGAGGGTGACCAGCTTAGCTCGGAAGAGGCAGTCGTTGTGGAGGCCGCTCTTGATCGCGCCGGGGAGAATTTGGCGGAGCTCTTTCAGGGAAGCGCAGCCGTCGAGGTGGGTAGGGGCATGGGCTGGGGGGATGGGAGCCCTTGTGGCAAGAGACGGCGGCGTTGGTTGTGCGCCGGGACTGCTGCCGAGTAGCGGGAAACTCATCTAAGATTGAGGAGATGTAATCAATCAATATATTGTTGACGGTTATTAAAACATAAAAAAAAAAAGATTTAATAAATTGCTGGCTACTCCAAGTTTTCTGGTAACAATTCTCTAATTTTCAATCCCTCCTTCCGTCAAACGATTATCACTTTCATTGTCATCATCTTCTTCAGTCCTCTCCTCTGAGTCCTCCCCAGCCCACACACCCTTCTCCTTTTTTCTTCTTCTTTTTTGTTCTTCCACTTCTACTATTATTATTGTTGTTGTTTTTATTGTTGTTGTTAATCTATTACTCCGTATTATTATTATTATTATTATTATTATTATTATTATTATTATTATTATTATTATTATTATTATTATTATTATTATTATTATTATTATTATTATTAGAGGTTTTACCATCTTTTTCTTCTACTTCTATTATTATTAATTTAGTAATAATAATAATAATAATAATTTATTATTACTATCATTATAAGTTATTAAAATTAATTTATTTTTATGTATTTCCATTTACAATATTTGACTGAAGTTATTTTTATCACAATGTTTTTAAAACTTAGAGTTAATAGTAACATGTAACTTAACTTGAGAGGGAAGAAGTAACACTAAAGCCCCCATAGAAAATTTGTATGTCTCCATTAACTTTTTCAATCTCCATTTTTTGTAAAAAAAGAGGCTAAATCATTTTAAATCATGAATTTAAATTTAGTTATACTAATCTATTTATGTATAATTTATAAAATTAAAATTATCTACTTACTTGGTTTTAAGCTAAACGTAGTAATTCACAATAATAAGATGAAATTTAACACTATTTTTATCGTTTCGATCATATTATCTTTTATTAAATGGGAGACGCTTCCCCTGAATCCCATCTTATTATTGCTTTAAGTCTTCTCATTTTCACGATTTGCCATTGCTAAGTGCTAACTGTGGTGCCTGGTTAATTACTTCACGATGACTAATTCAAAAGACAACATCAGATGCCGAAAAATTATAGTAAAACTACTAATGACTTTTTTCTAAATAACCATGAGCGTTATTTTTCTAAATAAATAGAGTAGTAAAAATACTATTTTAATAATAATAGTAATAGTAATAAATAAAAATAAAAAATAAATATAATAATTCTAATAGAAGAGGAAGAAAAGAATAATTACTAATATTAATAACTATTAGTTTTATTTTTAATTAAAAAAATAGAGTAGCAAAATCACCAATTACTTTTATTAATAATGAGTATAATAAATAACAAATAATAACAACAACAAACAAACAAACAATTCTAATAGTAGAAAAAACGAAAAGGAGGAGAATGGAAGAAGTAGAAAAAAAGAGAGGAAATGGAAGAAGATGGTGATGGTGAACATGATGATAGGTGATCATAATGATGAAAGTGATCGTCCAATTGGATTTAACAGAAGATTGATGGAAAGTCACCCAGTTGTTAATTTCTTAATATTTTAAGGTATCTCCCAATATATTTTAAAAATATAGTGGAAGTGTGGTTATTGTTACATTTTGGGGGTGACAACGGTAATATAACAGTGACAGTGAAAGTGATGGTAGTAATGTGTCAGCAGTAGTAACAATGTGGCACTAGCGGTGACATTGCGACTGTGGTGGTGAGCTAATGTAATTATTTTATACTTTCTCCGTTTCACTGTCTTTGTCCATTTACCTTTTTGTACATCATCCAATGCACTTCTTTAATTCATTTTATCTTGTAATTTGTATATTAAAAAATTATAGAAATTATATATTAATAATCTACTCCCTCCGTCCCAAAAAGATTTACACGTTTCAAAAAAATTGTGTCCCACAATCCCTTACCCATTTCTATTAAAAAACCACTTTTACCTCTTATTTTTTCAAACCCTACCTATCACATCATACCTTTTTCCTAATAATCTACACATCACATCCTACTTTTACTCATCAGATCAGGGGTATTTTTGGAAAGTCAACACAAAATTATCCATCCATTAATTTCAGCTTTAGTCAAAATGGGTAACACTTTATGGGACGGAGGGAGTATATGTTAAGACAAACCAAACAAGATCACACATGACTATATTTAAGCTTACACATTGAGAGAATTTGATGAGTCAAAGTGCTTAGATGAACAGTTTCAAAAGTCAAAAGTGGACAAAGACAGTGGGATGAAGGTAGTATTTGTGATCTTTTTTTTAAATTTTAAATATGGACAACAATAACTTTTTATTGTAAAATAACTCATAAAGACTACTCCTTATATAGAGAAAAGAGGTCAAAGCTCCTAGCTCTTATCTTGGGTACCTATTTAAGATCAAAATTACTCTTATAGTATTTTTGTCCGTTTGAAAGATACGAAACTAAAATTAGTGTTACTCGTAGCGTAATTATATTATTGTTTTCTTAAATTTGTGGTAAGCATATTTTTAGTTGTGCAATAGAGCATTTCTTGTTGATATTTTTTTTCTATTTTTCTTCACCGTGGTAAAAACAATAGTACAAAAAAGTAAATAAATAAAATAGGATAAAAAAAACTAAACAGATGCCTCTCTCTACATATATAAAAATGGCAATATTAAAAAACATAAAATAATATTGATTAAATATCAAAAATAGAAAAACGGAAAAAGAATAATTTGAATTTCGAGGCACAAGTCAACTGACAAAGGTAATTGATGAGGCTTGCTTTTCAACATACTCCCTCCGTCCCAATTTATTTGCAACACTTCGAACGACGTGCAAAATATCATATCTTTTAAAATTACTTTAATTTTAAATTGATAGAGTAATAAAAAGTAAAAATTACATCATTTAAAAGTATATGAAAAACTCTACAAAACATGATGCGACAAGAATATTTTATTTTATCGAATGGTCAACCAAAATGAATAAATAAACAAAATTATCGAGAGACCAGAATAGTAAACGTGACATTCTTTGTGGGACGGAGAGAGTATACAGCAGGAGTTTGAAATTTTGAATCTTGGAAACATCCCTTTGTTTTGGTCTTTTGTAGAAAACATTAGCCTTGCTAAAATCTTCTTGTCTCCCATTAGTTGAAACTCGAAACACATCACGGCAATATTTCTCTCCCACTAATCCTAGAGTAGGAGCAATGACGAATCTTAACACATTGTTTGGAAAAAAAGTGAAAATGGGTGGAAAGAAAATGGATGGAAAGAAAATAGAGAAGAAAGAAAATGAAGAGAAAATTGAAAGAGAATAAATGTTATTTGGATAGGTAGAAAATAGAGAAAAAAGGTAGAGGAAAGAAAATGTATTAAAATAAAAATACAATTTTACCCTTATTCTATATAGAAATTGGACATAGTGGAGGGTAAAAATGTCATTTCCAGACTTTTCTCTCCCTTTAGCCAATTTTCTCGTCCCTGGAGGGAAGAAAACTTTTCAGCTTTCCCTTTCCATTCTCTCTCCATTTTCTCTTGCAAACCAACAGAAGAAAGTTTTTTGGGAATTGTGTTTTCATCCCAAACATTTTCTTTCCCTTTAATTTCACCTCATCCAAACACAAATTAAGTGGGGATCTCCCCATTTTTTTGAATGAATAAGTTGAAGTGATGGGATGCATATCTTATCTTCTTCAACAATTCCTAATGGTTATGTGGAGTGTATCAACATACTAGCTTTGTCCCTCAATATATATTTACTTACTTTTGACTTTTATTCTATCAAAATGCCAAACTTTGATAATAAAATAAGATATGAGTGTCTTTTTTTATTTTCTCCATATTTTAATTTTACATTGGTGTTTTCCTTAAAATTTCCTCCAAACTTTTACATCGCGTGAAAAGATGTGTGGCGAACAAGGGTGTGTCTATCTTTGCTTTCATATATAAAAAATACTTCTTCCATCTCAAAATTGATTTCTGAGTGATTTTTTTTTATAAAGAAAATCTTGAATTTAATGCCGTTGAACCTGGTTTTTCAACAGTGGGGGGGGGGGGGGGGANGGAGGAAGACGAAGAGGAGAATAGATCCGTTTTACCCTCTTTTCTCTATAAAATTCATCTTGTCAAAGCGGTTCAATAATTTCCAACCACTCTTCCCAAGTTGACCATCTCCCCCTGATTTTCACAGGCGTCGCACTTCCCTCCTTTTTGACCTAAACCTCCTCATAAACCCTCTTCTTCTTCTTCTTCTTCTTCATCCTCCTCCTCCATCTGGTCCCAGATCCAGAGGTTGAAGAAGAGCGTTTTTTTTTGAGGGGTCTGAGAAAGACGGTCATGGCGGCCTCCCAGTTCCCGGAGGACTTACGGTGCCCGATTTCGCTCGAGATCATGTCCGACCCGGTTATTCTCTCTTCGGGTCACACCTTTGACCGTTCCTCCATCCAACGGTGGCTGGACGCCGGCAACCGGACTTGTCCGATTACTAATTTGCCCCTCCCCGACCCTCCCTCGATCATTCCTAACCACGCTCTCCGCAGCCTCATTTCCAATTTCGCCCACGTCTCCTTGCCCGTTCCCGACCGGGTTCCCGATCCGAATGCCCTGATCCAGATCTTGGTTTCCAAATCCACTCCGTCGGGATCTAGACTCACCTCCCTCGACCGGTTGACTAAGCTCTGCAAGCGCGACTCCGCGATTCGCCGCCGCCTGACCGAGTCCGGCGCGGTCTCCGCCGTGTTGAGCTGCGTGGGTGCGGACGACGCCGACTCCGGGCTTCAGGAGAAGGCCCTCCACTTGCTCCTCAACTTGAGCTTGGACGACGACAATAAAGTCGGCTTGGTCGCGGAAGGCGTGGTGGGGAAAGTCGTCGCCGCCCTCCGCGGCGGCTCCGGCGACTCCCGCGCGGTCGCCGCCACCGTTCTCACAAGCCTGACGGTTGTGGAAGTGAACAAAGCCACAATCGGAGCATACCCTGATGCGATCCCAAGCCTGGTTTGGCTTCTCTGGTTTGGGAATTCCAGGGAGAAGAAAGAATCAGCCACCGCCCTCTACTCCCTCTGTTCGTTCCCGGAGAATCGGCTCCGGGCAGTTGAAAACCACGCAGTTCCTATACTCATACAGAATTCCGGCTCCGGCCTGGAACGAGCCGTGGAGGTTCTAGGGTTACTGGCAAAATGCAAAGAGGGCAGGCAAGAAATCATGAAGTATGGGTGTTTCTTGGACACATTGCTTGATTTCTTGAGAAATGGGTCATCGAGAGGCGTCCAATATGCTCTCCTGACCATTAACATGTTGTGCACTTTCAGTGAAAGAATGTGTGCAGAGGCCATCAGAAGAGGGGTTTTTGAGACCTGTTTTCAACTGCTGGATGATGAGAATGAGAAGGTGAGAAGGAATGCCAGTAATCTGATTCAGGTTTTGCAAGGGAAGAAAGGGATTTTTAGTAGAAATGGAATGCATTGATTCATCCATTTCATGATGATGATGATCCCAAAGGAGGTAAGTTGGAATTTTCTTTCTTTTCTTTCTTTCTTTTTTTGGGTTGATTAGATTCCTCACCCTTTTGTACAAAAAGATCAGAACTTGGGAGGCAAATCATGTTCTTTATGTTGTATATTTATCAATAAACATGATGATGATGATATGTGAAGACCCCATGCCTTCCCCTGTCTATTTTCTGCTGTGTTTATGAAGATCTAAAGTCAGTCTTTTATCTGTCCGTTTACAGTCCTAGTCTGTCCTAGTGTTGGCTATTGTCCCAGTTTCTGTGTTTTGGCTTTTTGGGAAGTGAATGGGAAAGAAAGTTCATTTAAGAAAAAAACAGTGGCTGAAATCCAATGAATTTTATGAAAGTAAAAGTGTTTGGTAGCATCCATGTCAAGGGAGAGAATGAGTACAAGTAATTCTCTTCTTCCCAATGTTGTGATCTGATTTGATTAGGTTCGGGTATGATTCGTTTTGATGATAGTTTTATTTCAAGTTGTTTTTGATTTGTTTTGCTGATATGATTTCAATAAGAATATGTAATAAGTCGAAAAGATCATGCTCTAAATGAGTCAATTTTGACAATGTTTTAGCTTCGAACAAGCAAGAGATATTATTTTTCTTCTTACTTTCTATGAAGTTTTGGGCAGTAATTGCAGTTGTCTACCATAAACAATCTCTTGGTTTTTTTAATGGGGTAAGGTTTTACTCCCTCCGTCTCTAAATAGATTAGAATTTTGTTTCTCCTCTTGATAACTTTTGTTTGTTTACGCGATTTCATTAAGTATTTGATAAAATAAAATATTCTTGTCACCTATTGTTTTGTAGAACTTTTGACGTAGTTTTTTTTAATATATAATTTTTATATCTTATTGATATACCAATTTGTAAATAAAATGGTTTCAAAAAGTAGGAAAATTTTATTCCGTAACCCGCAATTTGTAATCAAATTGAGGAAGGAGGGAGTATTAATCTCAACCCTAGACTACAATAGAGTTGAGATTATCTTGGGATTGGTTTTGTAATTTTAAGCTCCAAAGTGCATTTGGTCCTTTCCTCAACATAGTCATCATTCCTTGTATCCGGACATCCTATGTTTCTTTGTCCTACTCATTCATTCATTGTAATTGCGCATCTTGTCTTGTTTCAATGTTGTCTTATAGTCCCTCCGTTTCAAAACTTTCTTCTCGATTACTATTCATACTCTCAAATTGTAATCACTTGAACTATTTTCGTTAGTTATTTGATATAATAATATAATCATTTCATCTCTTATTTTGTAGAACATTTGATGTATTTTTTTACATATAAATTTTATTTTTCATTTTTATATTTACCATCAAACAAATTGAATTGAAAATAATTTCAGTACAACCTCGAAAATCGAAACGGGATGAATGTTTTAATCTTTCTTAAAGTATATATGAATGAGTCGGGTGATTGATCGGGTTCATCATCTTTTTTTTGTTTGGGATTTTATCCATTAAATCAGTTTGAGTAATTCGGTTATTTGTCGAGTCAGGTTGAAATTGTCATCCCTACTTACATCGATAGTTCCATTCTCTTTCGACCTCACCGAGATTGTAACTCAACTTACTATTTTCCAACCTACCATTGAGACTCATAATGGGAGACCTAGCTTGGGATTTTTGCCAACAAATAGTGTGTAGGTAAAGATAGGTGGCAAAGTGTTTGCTTGTCTGCATTCTCTTTCACACATTTTGTCTTGCTTCACAAGTTCACATGCCTCAACTTTTTGCAATAATCCAAAATGATTTCTCAAGCAAGTTCTTCATGACTCCCACCCACCACCACAAATGGCCCTTTTGACATTTCATTCTTTAATCTCAGTAAAACCAAAGATGCTTATGGAGTATATTAAAGGCCAATTTGGCAACTGGTTTAGCATTTAGTTTTTGCATTTTGAAAAAGTTATTTAATGACAATGTTTAATAAATTGGAGTATGTGTTATGGAGGGGGAGGGGTGAGAGAGGGTGTTCTAGTCCTTCCTCCTACTCCCACTCCCCTCCATTACACACCTTTAGAGCATCGCCAACCGAACTTATATTCCCTTTGTTTCTAAAAAAATTTATATTTTGTTTTTTGTGCATCTTACAAAATATTTTTATCCCATCTGGAAATACCATGAAAACATCTTTTACCCGTAATTAAGTAGAAATAGAGTGAATTTTAGACATTATAGATATGTATAGTAGTATATTTAGGGATACGCACAAAATGAAACAAGAAGTTTTCTTAGAGACAGAGGAAGTTATTCATTAGCTATAAACACTATTAGATGTTACATCTGCAACTCGAACCATGTAGTCTTATTAATCTCAATTTTGCCAATGGGCGTTGCACAGTTAGAAAAAGCAGGGAGTGTCAAAGAGGTAGAACCGAGTTCGATTCTTGGTAACTGCACTGGGGCAACTGTGATAAGCATAAGACATCTGCAAGTACAAAATGCAGGGTTTATTCTCTGCCATCAATCTACAATTAAAATCCAACATACCTTCTTTCAATAACCGTCTGATTGGGTCTGAGGGCCATCGGGGATAGGCTCATCCTTTGTTTGTCTTAATTTTAGACTTAGTACTTTGTATATTTTATAGTACTCCCTCCGTCCTTAAAAAATTGTCACAGATTGACTTTTTTGGTTAAACTGTGGCATTTTTTTATCATGAATTAAATATAATTTAAAATAATTAAGTATTATGGAGTATAAAAATTTGATATTTCAAAACTGTATTTGCAAATAAATCTAATTTTACTAAATTTACATTATTAATAAAAATAAATTTCCCATAATTTACGGTCAAATGGTCCTACAGTTCGACTAAAAAAGTCAAACTATGACAATCTTTTAGAGAGAATACTATTTTGCAAATATTTACTTCATTATGTAACCAGTCACATCCCTTCCTCAGTTCCTCTCCTGTCTTTCTTTTTGTTTTTTTACTCTTTCTCCCGGCCTCCTTACTTTTTCTATGTATATTACTCTTTACTATACTCCATACTAGTGTCAACCCCGTGCTTCGCACGGGCTCGTATACATTCTAAACTTTTGACATTCTATAAATATAATTTTATTTATTTTAAATGAATATTTTTCATTTTAAGATATACGGAGTATATTTTTTAAATAAAAAGTAATGTTTATTCATGCTAAAAAATAATATTTATTTAATATAATACAATAAAATATATTAAAAGATTTTTAAAAAGAAGCTTAAAGAACCAATGAAATTCCTCCATCTCATAATTAGTGTACATGTGGATGCACATGTGGCATGCCACATGTCAACACCACAACCAAGAAACTCAACTTTACAACTTTAGTTTTCTAATTGTGACAAAATATGTTTTAGACTGATGGAATATATATTGGTATATTAATTTAAAAACAAAAAAATATACAAAATTAATGTCACTTGTCAGCTCTCACCCTTTAATTAAACCTATTTTATTTTATTCACTTTGTTGAAAAATATATGTAGTAATAAAATAAATAATGTAGTAAGATAAAATTTTTGAAAGAAAGTATTTAATTAATAAATATGCACATGTGATTAAATTTATGCAATCATTTTTTGAGAAGTAATAAACTAAAATAAGTTGTGGATAGTATAAAAATAGTTTTATATGTGTGTGTGTCCATACATACATACATACATACATACATACATACATACATACATACATACATACATACATACATACATACATACATACATATATATATATATATATATATATATATATATATTCAAAATACGGAGTATATTTTACAATGGTGAAATATATATTTTTAGAATTATTAAAAAATGAAAATTTTTATATAAATGTAGTAAAAGATATTTAAAATGGGTGCAATGCATATATCCACTTTATAAATGGATGCACATGTGGATGTATATGTGACATGCCACATGTCAACACTACAATAACTAAACTCTATTTTACATATAGGATTATAGTGTTTTACAGTATGTTTGATTCAAAGAAATTGCAATGAAAAGGAGAGAAAATGATTTTTCCTCAATTTACTTCCCAAAATGGAAGAAATTTGGTTTTCCCTCATCTTAGTACATTTTGTCTTCTCTTTTTTTTCTTCCCGTTTTCTTTTCTTTTCCTCTCTATCCATACAAAAAAATGTTTTCCCTCTCATTTTCTTTTTTTTTCTCTCTCAAATTCCTTAAACCAAACATAGTGTTAAAGATTTAGCAAATGAATCGTTATCAATTTAATATATTTGGTGTAGCTTTCATTTTAGTTGAAAATAATCTCAGTCAAACATCATAAACCTAAATATGCGATTTAATTTGGACGATAGAGTACAAAGTAAAAATTGAAGAAACCACCCTAAATAGAAGTAAAATATAGAGAAAGTACCAAAATAAGAACTGTATGTTTTATTTCTAAAATAGGAATTTGCATTATTGTAATATGACACTGTATATAAACATTTCATAATATTTTTTGTTAATGTATGTGGTCATGATTGATTCTATTAGTACATTTTAATTTTATGTCAAAAAAATAAAAACATGAAACTCATATTTTAGTATATTTTCAATATTTTGATTATACTGTAGTCTTTTTTTTTCTAAAAAAATTGTCACCTTGTTCATCTTGAAAATGGGAGTGATGCCATTTAACTAGACCGGATATTCCCAATGCTAACCAGAGTTTGCTTTTGCACAATATCTCAATTTTAGCGAATAAATGAACTTGTTCAAATATCTGTGTTGACTTGCATTGCGGATTTGCTCCAAAATATTAATGTTATGTTTGGTTCAAAAAATTTGAAAAAAAAAAAAGAAAAAGAAAATGACTTTTTTTCCATTTTCCTTGCCAAAATAGAAAAAGTTTGGACTTCACTCTTCTTAATACATTTTCCTTCTATTTTGTTTTCTTCTCTGACCAAACAAGAAAAACTATTTTTCATCTTATTTTTTTTCTTTTCCCTTTTAAATTCCTTGAACCAGTGTAAGGGTTTTAATCCAAAGGGATTTCAATATTTTTTCTCATTAAAGAATGAATTTCCTAGCCAACGGAAAACAAGATTAGTGTTTCTTTGGTACACTTTAGGTGCATATCAATCTTATGAACTTTCTCACATAAAAAAACTTTTTTTATTTAAAAAATGCTACTTATTTGCCAAACAACATTATTGAGAATTGAGATCACTTTGCGTGCTAAGAGAGTGTTTTGGAGTGATTAATTTGTGGATAAAATGATTTCCACAAAAGCTGAAAGCAAAAGCACCTCATACATACTTTTCCGAAACAGTATTCTATGTACAAATTATTGATGGTTAAAAGCAAAAGCTGACATGTCAAACAGAATAAAATCACTTCCACTCAAAGCAGAAGCTAAATTATTAAAATCGGCGCACTACCAAACACCCTCTAAGTGTGTCCATGTTACGAATCATATATGGTGTATTAATTCCCTCATGTTTCTTTCACAAAATCTAAAAAAAATAAATTTTTACAAAATTTTGATTAAATTTGTTACGAAAAAAGAAATTTTCTAAGCAACATGCCTTTGGAAAAAATCTACACTTTACTTTTGGAAAAAAATTGTAGCCCATAGAATTTCTCTCTATACCACTGTCAATCATATAATTTGACTTTTTTTAAAGGTTATGACAAGTCAAACGTAGAACCTAGGACAGAAGGTACTCCATAAGTTGCTGAATTTGTAAATTGCTTTTACCTTAATTTCTAAACTAATACCTCCGTCCCACTCTTTTTGTCCACTTTTGACTTTTGAAACTGTTTATCTAAACACGTTGACTCATCAAATTCTCTCAATATGTAAGCCTAAATATAGTCATGTTTGATCTTGTTTGATTTGTCTTGACATATAGATTATTAATATATAATTTTTATAATTTTTTAATATACAAATTACAAGATAAAATTGATTAAAGAAGTGTATTGAATGATGTGTAAAAATGAAAGTGGACAAAAACAGTAGGACGGAGGGAGTAATTGCTGACAATCTGTCTCCTTTCACTATATGATGAAAATGTTGAAGAAAAAAAAGGTAAGAAAAGTTAAATCTATTTGTACCAAAAAAATTAGGAAAGGCCGGAGATGGAATTGATTACTGCTACTCCTTCTCCTTCTGTCCCATTTTAAATTGCATGTTTCCTCCTTTTTTCCGTCCCAAAATAAGTTGCATGATATTTGTTATCGTAAACTTTTAAGAGTAAAATAACTAAATTACCCCTAAAATAAGTCATTCTTCTCCATCTTATCTTCTCATTCATCGTTACTCCTAAAAATTAATGACAATTTCAAAAAATCAACTCTATTTTTTTTCCTTAAATATGCCCAAAAGTCAAAACAGACGATTTAAAACGGGACAGAGGGATTACTTTTTTAAGTGATGAATACAATTGAATACGGAGTAATATATATAACAAATCACAAGATAATACTACCTCGTCCCAGAGCATTTGTCCAATTTTAATTTTTTTAGTCAAACGTTTTCAACCTTTGACGTTTCATTAAATAAAATGTATATTGTATATTAATTAGATAAAATAATATTTAAAAAATATATTATATAATAAATCTAACAAAAATATTTTTGTATTAATATCTAATATCATTTTTATTTAATTTGAGGTCAAAGTTTACCAATTTTGTTCAAAAAAAGTCAAAAATGGATAAATACTTTGAGAGGCAGAGAGTGACTAAGAACAATATCTAAGAGAATCTAATGATTATCATTTACACCCTCCACATTCTTGGGAACATACATAAGGGGGGGGGGGGGGAGAAAACCAAGCTAACTTTTTAGGACTTGTACCTTGGGTTTTGGGTATTCCCTTCTTGTGAAGATCCAAGCCCTTAATCCAACTACCCCCCATAATACTGACTGATTCATTTGGGATTCTTGATTCTAAGCTTCCCTCCATCTGTGGGAGTAATTATCTGTCCCTCTTGTTTTTTATGTTGTCCTAAAATGATCTCATTTACTTTTCAAGAAAGAAAGAATTACTCCATAGATGGTTTGTATTGAATTCTCATGATTACCACTTACCACAGAGAAATTTAGAAGTTAGTTGGACTCCCCCATCTTCTTCTTAATCAGTCTCCTCAGCTAGCTAAGGAATTTGAGAAGCTAGTTGGACTCTCAATCTCCATGTAATTGAGCAGTCCTACATTAAGCAAGTAAAGAAATTAGAGATAAAATAGATGTACTCAGTACTTTAGAACATATAGAGGTGAAAAATGTTACCTTTGCATATCTTGGAGAATAATGGTCTGATACTTCGAAATGGTGCAGCAATGTGATGCCAGAACTCATGTCTCTTGTGCTCACTGAACGGGCCTGAAAGGCAATTACCAGGCTGGGTTTCTTGGCATAAAGAAGTTATGAAGGTCGCGCCAGTTATATATCATTTGTCCAAATCTGAAAGAACTATAGTCTTGTTCAAGTCGCAACATCAATCCAACTAGAGCCAATATCTTTCTTTAGCCCCTTTCCACCGACGAATTCCCTGAGCTCCTCGATCTCGCTCCACATACTGTTCCTGGCATATAAGTTTGACAGTAGAACATATATCCCATCGTTATGAGGATCCAATTCGATCGCCCTCTGAGCTGCAAATTTACCCAATTCGACATTCCCACATTCAATGCAGGCATTGAGCAATGCTCCCCATGTGGAAACTGTGAAACTCCTGTTTCCCTTCTCTACAAATTTCCATGCCTTCTCCAACTCCCCAGAACGACAAAGCAAGTCGATCACACAGCTGTAGTGCTCTGGACCATGTTCCAGTCCATAATCACCAGCCATTGATTCAAAATACTCCATTCCAAGACACACTTGGCCTGTGTGGCTACAAGCTGAGATAACAGTCAAAAATGCCACACCATCCGGTTTAATTCCCTGGGTTACCATTTCTCTAAACAGTGTGATCACTTGTTCGTAATTCCCGTTGCGTCCCAGTACGCCCAGCATTGAAGTCCATAGAACAAGATCTCTCTTTCTTACGACTCCCATGTCAAAGACTCGCCTAGCCTTCTCTAGCAGCCCGCACTTTCCATACATTTCGATTAACAAGCTTTGAAGAAATACATCACTTTCAAAATCAGGGATTTTGCGAATGCCACACCCATGGGCCTGCATTCCCAATCCAACAGCAGAAATCCCAGCACAAGCGCGCAATACAGATGAAAAGGTGAAATTATCAAACCCCAGATTTAAAAACGGTAGCTTCCTGGCCAATTCAAGCGCTTCATCCCACATTTTAGACTCGGTGTAGCCTGATATCAGTGCATTAGCGCACACACTATTTCTAACGGGAATTTCGTCGAACAATAAAGCTGCACTGTCCACGCATTGCAATTTTGCATAAAAGTCGATCAGAGCACAACCCATATACACGCTAGAAAACCAACCCGATTTTTCAGTAAAGGCGTGAACTTTCCGGCCAAATTCAAGGTTTCGGAGGGAGGAAGCAGATGTCACGGAACTACACAATGCGTACGAGTCTATGCAGACACCATTAGAATGCATGAAAGAAAATGCTTGTAAAGCGAGAGAATAGAACCCGCTTTCACAGAATCCGGAGATGATGGAGTTGAAGAGCAAGGGGTTTCTGGGATTGAGGGATGACAAAAGATCTGTTAAAGTCCGACGGAGGAGGAGGTTGTTTGATTGAGGAAGAAGGCATGTGGTGTGGGCAAATATGATCTTGGTCTGGAGAGTGGGAGTGAGGGAGAGAAGCCCTGTGATGATCAAGTGGCCATGAATCGCCTTAACAGCTCTCAGATTCTTTGTTCTTGTAACTTGATCCAAGACTTGAGTCACGCAATGGGTCTTTGATCCAGGTTGAAGAAGTGCTTCAATCGTCATAATTGGCTGCACACAAATGGAAGAAATTCAAACTCCAGTTTCACTTGCAAATTAATTTATAATTAATGTCTCAATTTGATTTTTTTGGTCAAACTATGTATGACTATAATGTAAATTCTTTTGATGTAGTTTTTATATTTCACATTTTTATAGCATTTATGAATTCAAAGGGTATATAATTCATGGCTTTCATGCACAAAGAGTATCCAATTTTCCATCATATCTGACGGAGCCAAAGATTCACTATTTTTTGGCTTTGGGTATGATGGAATAAAACAAAATGGCTCTTTTAACTGTTTGTGTTTCTTTTAACACTGAAGCTTGGGTCATTCAGAAACAGCTGCTCTATGTTTAAAACATAAGGGTCAAGTTGCGTACGTGATTACCTATGGTGCTTGAGCCAGGGGTCTCTTTGGAGACCACCTCTCTACTTTTGAGGCGCGATAAGGTCTGCATACACACACCCTCCTCATACCCTACTTTTGTGGGATTCAATTGGATTGTTGTTGTTGCTCAAAGAGTATCACAATTTGACTAAAGAGTCCAACTAAGACAATATGTTTGGGATAAATAGAGTATTTTCTATATTTTTCTCACGCTTAAAATTTTCATTCCATATTACTATATTAGTACGTCTAATTTTTAGTAAAAACTAAACTAGCCAATTAACAATTTCATATCATTGTAGACCGTGGAGGCGTGGACAATGAAAGCATTTCCATCAAGATAATAAATCAAAAGAGATAAAGAAATACAGTACGAAGAATAGAAATAATGTTTTGGTCCTGTTACATACTAGTATTACACCCATGCAATGCACGGAAATATATTGGCTACAAAATTAGAGATATTCATAATAAATTTAAATTATTGATCTTTAGATTTAAAAAGGTACTCCCTCCGTCCCATAAAGTCATTCCCGTTTCAAAAAAATTGCGTCCCTTGAAGTCATTCTCATTTCTATTAAAAAACCACTTTTACCCCTTATTTTTTCATACCCTACCTATCACATCATACCTTTTTTCTAATAATCTACACATCACATCCTACTTTTACCCATCACATCAAGAGTATTTTTGGAAAGTCAACACACAATTATCCCTCCTTATTTTACCACTCTAGTCAAACCGTCTCTATCTTTATGGGACAGAGGGAGCATAAAATATTGAAATATACGGAATAAATTGTAGTTTAATGAAACAAATATATAATATCGTCCAATAGTAAGATAATATATGTATATCAACATGAATTGCTAACTATTATTATATAATCTCATAGCATACATGAATGCATATTATTTTTGACAATAACTACAAGACCTTAGATTTGTTATTATTTTTGAAAAATGGTTGCGTACAATTAAATTCTCAAAATCCATAAAGTAACCCAAGAACAACTAAAGGTATTAGCTATTTCATCCGAGGAGTCTAAGACGCCTTTCTTCTTCTGGCAGATAATGAAGCATATGAAGACATTTCTTTGTATGTTGTGTTACAACTTATAATCCAGTTATCCAAAAAAAAGAATACAAAGTGAAGTAATTGTTATACATAGTGTTCAAAGTATATAATCACTATATTCAAAATCCACAAACTCATATAGTAATATGTCCTTTTAAATTAAGTAGAGAAATTATAGGTGTACACAAAAATGTTTAGCATTTATGAATCTTAAATAGCTTCCAATTAAATCTTTTACCACCTTGCTAGTTATGCCCAGGCATTTTCTTAGCAAGTCACCATAATTTAGGAAAATTTAGGTCCATTGTTGATTTCTTACTTGAACGCTTGCATTTGAATTGAGACTAAATAGTTAAAAACAATGGGCCTTAGCATGTTCAAGGAAAAGATGCCCTATATGCCCAACAAATAGGGTACTAAATACAAAGGTGGAACGCCCACCCTAGGCGCCCCCACACCCCGGCTCGACAAAGTAGTGAGGAGAGTAAATCATTATATAATCATAGTCTTGCCCTAAGAGAGATTGTCTCGTGCCAGGTGCACACAAGGAGCTATCACATTGAACAAAAAACTAACCTTAGAATTGTAGATTTCAAATAACATTCAACTAACCTTAGAATTGTAGATTTCAAACTGGTTGGAAATTTTTACAGGAGATGAGAATCGCACTATAGGCTGCATACAGATGAAAAAGATGATATCTGAGTGCTTAATACAGAAGAAGCAAAATGATAACAACAATAACTTAACCACGATTTGATAATAATAAAAACATTTTAATCAAATTTGCAAAGAATGAGAGAAATATGATCTTTTGAGAATGATTAAATACCCTGAATCGAGGTCATATTCGTCAACCTCTGCGCCGGATCTGATGACCAAAGAAGAATACGCAGAAGAAGAAGAATACGCAGATCGGTTATGGGAAGAAATACCCGATCGGTTGTGGGGAGAATTCCCTACAACTAACCACCTTAAGGCCCGGCGTTAGGGTTGAGCGTGGAAGAACGATGGAGTCTTGGTCTCATTTCCTCTTTGATATGTTGAAATGAATTCTATGATCAAATATAATTTGATTTATTGATCTGAATATAGTTATATTTAATATTATTTTGATTTAATATGTTTTTATTTAATTTGAATTGATCAAATTTCAATAAAAGAAAGTAATAAAAAAATTCTTTCCATAATTATCTCCATTTATCTTTATACAATCTTTAATAATCATTAATATTTCAAATTATATATAATTTTGTATTATAAAAAAAGATTTTTTTTGAAACTTATTTAAAATTGAATCTATTAAAATTAAGTTTATATCATAACTCAATACTTTTTCTATATTTCATGGTTAAAGTCAGAAACATTAAACCAATAAAAAAAGGAATAAAAATCAAAGATGGAGAAAGTAAAAACGTGGAATGAGACACGCTAACGTGAGCACGTGACACATTCAACCAATGTCAAATTATCACTTTTGTCATTTTTTTTCCATTTATGAAGTATTTCAATTAATAAAAGTTATTCTTATCATTTATTTTATAAAAAAAAGTCTATTTCTTTCTTAAAAAAAAAACAGGTGTTCCATGTCTTGAGTGTGACTCATGGAGAGGCAAAATGCAAATTACACGCATTTGCCACCTCAATCGCTCGTGTCCATAGGCAAGAGTTATTAGGGGTGAAAAAATATTAGGCGAAAAAAATTACTCCCTCCAACTATTTTTCTTACTTTGATTTTTTTTTTGACAAACTTTCGATTTTGACTATAAATTATAGAAAAAACTTATTTGGAGTATTAAATTGCCATATAAATTTAATATAGAAACTTTATTTTGAAGCCTAATTTTAAAATACTAAATTTTTTTCATAACATATGTTTATAAATAATATTAAGGGGTTGTTTGGCAACTTCTGAATAGGTAAGTGCTGAACCAGTAAGAGGTCTGAACCATTAAGTGCTGAACTAGTACAAGGTCTGAACCATTAAAAGCTAGTATATTGCTTAATTATTCAGAAGCAAATGTCTGATCAATTTAGATAAGAGGTCTTAACCATTCAGACTCTGTATAATACTTAACCATTCAGAGGCAAATCTTTACCCATTCAGACATCTGAACCATTAAGAGGCTGAAACAAACAATCTGAACCATTAAGTGCTGAATCATTCAGACATTTGAACCATTAAGAGGCTGAAACAAACAGCCCCTAATACTCAAAATGTTACACTTGATACTGTAAAAAGTCAAATAAAATAAATTTTATGGACGGAGGGGTAATAATTGCTCGAATAGATCACTATACCGTAAGTATTTTAAAATGAGTCGGTGACACCAGTGTTACCGTAAAGATGATATCAAATTTTCACTCTTTTATGGCTCCTTTTGTGAATTAACTGATGAATAGATTCAAGTTTTGTGTGATATATTCGTGAGTTACTTCTCGGAATAGATCAAGAATCGGTAGATTATAATGGATGGTTGAATTTATCGTTACATTTAAAATGAAATAATTAATTACTTCTCGGAAGTTTGACTTTATATGACAGACGTATTCCGGTTTTACCTGCATCATGTATAACAATGTATAGTCCAAAAATTATTTTCTCGTTCATTATTTACATGGTCAAATTTTATTCTTTTTGTTCGCCTATTTTTGTTGTTCATTTGATAAATGCCTCTTTTGGCATCAGCTTTGGAAGTTAGCCCTAGTGTTTTAAATAGACTATCCGACGGTTGTTTTCAAACAAGACCAAATTGAAATAATATAATCATGTCACGTCTAGTTTTGTAGACTTTTTGATATAGTTTTCAATTATGTAGTTTTTGTTTTTTAATTTTACAATACTTTCATATAAATGATTTGAAAATAATTTCAGGCAAACATCGTAACACGCAACGAAAGAAATTTTTAGATGGATGAAGTACATGACATGCCCGATCATATATTTTGTAAATTTGTTATATTCATTACTCTTTACAATTTAGTAGTCCTTGCTTCCCTTGTGGGTATAACTTATACTCAACCCGAATATTCAAAAAGTGACGGATCAGACTATGGCTGGTCAATACTTTTGTAAGGGCTTATTACCTTAATTAACCTTTTCCATCTATATAAATCGATTGTAAAAGATGGAGAAGGGACATTCAATCATTCATACACACATTTGTATGTACACTCACGAGACAGAGTAAAAAATATAAGTTCGGACACTTGAATTCTTCCCTGGGTTAGGTTATTCTCGAGTTCTTATTTTCTGGGTTGTTTGGCTTACTCGACAGAGCCCTTTTAGACCAGGTCACTCCTGGTCAAACCTACCCGGTCAAATTTACACCATCAGTTCCTAAAAAATGTCACAATTTAACTTTTTTGGCAAACTGTCGCATCCTTTGACCGTAAGTTATGGAAAAAGTATATTTATTTATAATTTAAATGTAGTAAAATTGGAGTTATTTTGATATACAATTTTGAAATATCAATGTTTATAATATCTATTTCTTTTAAATTATATTTAATTCGTGGTCAAAGGGTGTCACAGTTTGACCAAAAAATCAAATTGTGACAATCTATTAAGGACGGAGAAAGTATTAAAATTAAAAAGTAAACGTGATTCAAAAATTATATCGAAAAGTTTATAAAATAAAAGATAATAATAATAATCTTAATTTTATCAAGTGAATAATACAAAAGTGGACTTCGTAGTAAATAAACAAAATCGATCAAGATATGATGGCTAATGTAAGACTTTCACATCATCCACATGCAATAACATTATTGGTTCAATTTGCAGAATCAATAAGCGGCGGCATTCTTGAAGAATTTAAACACGTTAAGCAACTTTTTTTTTGTTAAATATTCGTATAATAACATCCTAAATAAAAATCATATAGTCGGTATACAATTAGGGCTGGGTTGGGAAAATCGAAATTCGCAAACCGAACCGAAATCGATCGAAACGAGCTAGAAAAAAATCGAACCGAAAAAACCGAAACCGAATGTAAAAAAACCAAACCAAACCGTTAGTGTTTGGTTACGTTTTGGTAAAAAAACCAAACCAAACCGAACCGAACCGAATAAACCGAACTTTCTTAGATAATTCGCTTTATTTATATGAATATATGTGATATGTAAAAAAATTATAGAAATATAAACGCAAATAAATTACTAGTCGATTAAAATTATTTTATTAACTATTAATTAAACATTCAAGCCATATTATTATAAACTTTGAAAAAACCTAAGAATATAAACACCAATAGCTTATCCTAAAATAGAATTATATTAACATTAAAAACTGATACGAGTAATTTACATATTTACATAACAAATACTTTGATGTTATAATGAAAATGAAAGTATTATACCAAAAAACCTAAATTCTTCGTAATTGATTTTACATACGATTTCTTTGGAAATATTTGGAATCTTTTAAATGTTTGTTGAGCATTCAACACATATTTTTTTATGTAAAATTGAACCGAAAGGAACAATGACCTTCCGTTTGGTTTTTGTTTTTGTGTAAAAATCAAACAAAAAAAACCAAAGCTAAAAGTACATATTGTTATTGTTTCATCGAGTTAGTGTTTTTACTATTTTTTAATGCTTATAAATTTCTACTTTTATAAACCGAAAAAACCGAAATAAACCGAAATAAAAACTGTATAAAACTGAACCGAATAACCAACGGTTTACATATTTTTTATGCAAAACCGAACCGAACCGCCAATTTACCTTCCGTTTTATCTTTGGTTTTGGGTAAAAACCGAACCCACCCCTATATACAATAAGGAAATCTCAAATACAATCATACTATATTTTATTCATACTATAGTCTTTTTTCTTTAGTTGATAATTTTCAATTCAATTTGTTTAAAAACTGATGTAAGTTTATACATTTTTCTAAGAATATTTGTCCAATTTGGACATTTTCTAATCAATCGGAATCGACTTTCAATCTATAATTAAATAAAAACATAATTCGTATATGATATGTATTAAATATATAACAATATGTTGAAAATATTCGCAAGGTAAATCTAATTAATTTCACGGAATTGAGGACAAAATTGTGGGCATGTTTACTCCGACATGAATTAGATATTTGTTTTTTTCAAATGCTAATATCAAATTCTTTAAGGGTCCGTTTGTTGAAACTCGGTCGCCCAAGTGTATCAAGTGGAATGGGAGGTGAGATTCAAAGATTTTTTCATAAAAGCTTAAGGGCCCGTTTCGCATCATTTATTTTTTCTATTTATTACTTATTCTTATTAAAATCAGATCAGATCAGTAGACAGGAGAAAGACTAAAGTAGGACTAAAACATTGAAAATAAATCAAAATAAGACTTCCATATTTTTCTTCCCGAAAAAGATTTAAATACATTTACATTACCAAATATGATCATGGACATTACTAAAAAGTATACTAATGTGTACATGTACAGTGTCACATCACCACAATGTGAAGTCTTATTTCGGGAAAAAAGCATGAAAGTCCTGTTTTGGTACTTTTTTCTATGTTTCAATCTATTCAGGGTGATTTATTATTTTAGCAGATTCAATGAGATCATACCAGATTCAATCAAATACTATTTTTAATATTTAACATATAATTAAATAAAATATATATTGTTTATTAATTAGATAAAATAATATTTTGAAAATATTTGATTTGATAAATATAATAAAACTCTTTTTGTATTAATATCTAATATCATTTTTATTTAATTTAAAGTCAAAGTTAACCCATTTTGACCAAAAAATCAAAAGTAGACAAATATTTAGGGACAAAGAGAGTACTATAATTTTAATTGTAATTATCATTGTTACTCCGTCCTAAAACTACCTTAACATTAGAAAACTTTCTTCCCACTTTCCCTTTTTCTCCGTCCTAATAAAACTTAGACACACATACACGCACACACAAAAGTGAGCTTATGACAAATCTGGTAGCGGTGAAAAAATTATTACTGTTTGAGATTTTAGGTGATGTGTAATGTGTAACTAACATTCAATATATTAGTATGTAATATGGTGACTTAGTATGTACTCCGTAATATGGTGACAGATTGTGATATTTTTTTAGAATAGCATCCATATTTTAATTTCTAGAATTTGGTTATTTTAATATCGAGAAATAATACACTTTCTTCACTACATAAATAAAAATTGATTATTTAATTTTTACAAAGATTAAAAATATAGTGATTTTGAAAAGATGTTTAATATTTCAAAAAAAATGTTTAAATATATGAATGATAAGCTATTGTATGGATTTACTTTTAAAAAACTTAAGTCAGTATATAATGGTTCACATTTCTTTACATTAGAGTAATATAAGTTTGATTGTTCCGATGTGGGAATGGAATCCCAAAATCCTGACTCCCCACATCTTTTCGCCCTAAAAAATCTTTTATTACTTCGAATAACTTTTAGAATTGCATATTCCATAAATTATTTTATTTAAAAATTAATATAAAAAAATTGCACATAGGATAAATTATATATTTCAAAACTATATCAAAATTTTTACCAAACAAAATACTATAAGAATGATTTATTTTATCAAATAATATATGAAATACACTAATAAATAATAAATACTCCCTCCGTCCTCCTGTATTTGTTCACATTTGATTTTTGGAACTGTTCATCTAAGCACTTTGACTCATCAAATTCTCTCAATGTGTAAGCCTAAATATAGTCATGTGTGATCTTGTTTGATTTGTCTTAACATATAGATTATTAATATATATTTTTTATAATTTTTTAATATACAAATTACAAAATAAAATGAATTAAATAAATGCATTGAATGATGTGCAAAAATGAAAGTGGACAAATACAGGGGGACGGAGGGAGTATTATTGAAAGAAAAAATAGTAACTGAAATAAGAATTTCGAGAAAAAATCATCCTAACTTGGATCAAAATATAAAAAAAGTACCAAAATGAAAGGTCCACATTTTTATCTCTAAAATAGGAATTCGCACTGTAGTATTGTGACACTGTGTATGAACATTTTATAATACTTTTTGGTAATTTTCAATATTTTAGTCTTACTCCAATTTTCTTCCCACCTAGAGAGTGAAATAAGTATTACTCATGACATTATATACGAAGTAGATAAATACTCCGTACATTATTTATATTTAAAAAAGAAAAATACATTTTTAAAGTGTGTGAGAATACTTGGTGTATAAATTTAGTAAATTACGGACGAGTTCGTGGAATTAAGAATTGGCTTAATTTCATACCATCTCTTAATTGTCAACAGATTTGCCCTAACTGCCGTGGGCAAATTTTTTTTCAAAGGAAGCATGAGTAATCGTGACATGCGCATGACACCACACTATTCATTTTGGAGTTAGCTTCACTCTTTATTAAGAATAAAGCTAAAGTAATATATTCCCTCTTAATTTAAGTTAGCTATTTGCCATGTTAAATTTTAATCTCTTTAATTACTCATTTTCGTTGTATATTTAATGAGATAATAAATTAAAATCACTTCTTATTTTATAGATTTTTAATGTAATTTTTTAAATATATAAATTTCATCTTAGTTCGTAACGTTGACGATTCATCTCAGTTCATAAATTTCATCTCAATTTTATTCTTACCCTTTTTACTGAACCCGAACCTACCCATATCCCCTTCAATTGCCCCATGAAAGTTTATTTGACTTTGGAATCAAAATTTTGACTCCAAAGTCAAATAACTTGGAGAGTGTTGTTGAAGGGAGTGTGGGTGAGATCGGATCGGGGAGAGTGGGAGGGGGGTTTCGTGGGGTTAGGAGGATAAGAATCATCAATTTTACGAACGGAACACCGTACGACCCCCAACTCATCTCATGACTCCAAAGTCAAATAACTTGGAGAGTGCTGTTGAAGGGAGTGTGGGTGAGATCGGATCGGGGAGAGTGGAGGGGGGTTTCGTGGGGTTAGGAGGATAAGAATCATCAATTTTACGAACGGAACACCGTACGACCCCCAGCT